TTTTGTCTTTTGGTAAAAATATCAGTGAATGACTTAAAAATCAAGTTTATCTAAAATAGTATTTTGTACAAAGTAACTATACATAATTGGAAAAGTCTCATGTTGAAGGCAGATGTGGCTTCTTTTACTAGATTGCTACTCTTATTCTTTTAAATGATATCGTAATTCTTCAAAAGACATAAAAAGTTCTTTGCCATCAATTTTTGCTTCTTCCACATTCAACTTCATTGCAACCAATGCATCTTATGTGAATTTTTAATCACCTGGAATTGAAAAACGTATGGATTTTGTCAGATGATGCAGTACTGTATTTAATGTTTCATGCATGTCATGATAAGCTTTTCTTGAGCAAATATTTCAAGGTAGGAGCATAATTTGGCACATTATTGAACAAAGTAGTTTTTATCTTGATTTTGATGTACTAACCTGTTTACTACACTGTATAACAAGCAATTCATTTACAGAAACACCAGATGGCATTTATAAAACTTTTAGCATAAAGCAAACCTTTACACACCATCATCATGGTTGTCCAAATCTGTCAAATTGTCCAGGCTAGCTGTTTAATACAGGTATTTTTTATTGTACGACTTGTACCAAAGAGCTCATTAATTAATCTTGCACTGCATTTGATTTCAATACAGCTCTGTCCTTAATATTTGCTTCATATTTTCAGAAAAATATCGTGAAAAAATCCTCCATTTCAACTCAGTTGAAACAAGGAGTTTTAAAATATGTATATCTCGATAAGAACTGGTTGCTTTGCCTCGTCTAGCAATCGATTAAGTAAAGAACAAATAAGACTGAACTTAATTTATAACTTAGGAGTAAAAACATTCACAAAATATATGCCATCACACTTCAAGTATTGACTTAAAACAAAACACTGAACACTTTAAATAGTAAACAATCTTACGTTGCTTACCGGTGTCATGAAATGTTTCCTTTTCTGGCATTACTTCAGCATCCGTATACCAAACAAGTTTGCAGCATGTTTTAAAGATAAAATTTCTAAAGTTTTTGTGCTTGGCATTGATATTTTATATAATCGCAATTGTGGTTGTCAAATCCGGGTGGGCGAAAAAAATTTCATTTTATGAGCCCGCGTCTTTCCGCTGACTTTGACAACCAAAATCCGCCATGTTTTTGACCACGCGGCCGCGCGCTGATAATTTATAGTAATTTGGTTGACGTTTCCCCTCCAGGTCTTATAGAACTCAATGCGAGCAACAAGCTCGTCTGTTGAAAAACTATATGTGTAACCATAGCAAATGAGATATCAAAATGATCCTCTAGCTATCCTCTATAACACTCTTGTGTTCCCAAGTAGCTAAAGGAAAACGTTTGCTGGAAAATCATCGACAAAAATAAAGAATTTGCTGTTCGATAAATTCGTTACCAAGCTTCGAAAAATGTTGCGCGCCGGCAATAAAATTTGGCACATTCTAATTCTCTAATTTTGCGCACAAAAATGCCAAGCGTGTATTCTTACCATTCTCTTGGCGATCAAGTAAGCGAAAGTTGGTGTCTTGTTAAGCTGCTAGCAAAATGAAGACAGGAACAACCTAAAGATGGAACACAAAATGAGTAAGCAATGATGTATGAAAAAAGGAAATTACGTATTCCATACCGTGTATTTCAAAGAGAAAATCAGCTGTAATTATAATTTAAGCTAATTTCCCGTGCTATACTTTTGAAGTTTTTGGAGTGTTGTGCTACTTGCGAATTAATAAATATAATTGGCTATGTGAAACAAGCTAGGTGAAACCTTTCTTAATTCTCCTTTAAACAGCATCGTATAGTCTAAACACATAGTACCACAAAACCTGAGAACATGTCTGAGATGGCGTAACTGTTATGAGCTCTGGGTAAGCAGAGCCACGGGCACCCTGAATGATGTTGTTTAGGAAAATAGCAATGAAAAAGTAGGTTTGTGTTAAGGGAAAATGATGCACTGGATTTTTCTCTATGAAGATCGTTCGTGAATTCGATTATCAATTTTTGAGAAAATGTTTATGTTGTTCGACTTTGGTGCGGGGGGTCCTGTATAAGTGCGGGGGGCCTCCTTAAAGTATCACGGGCAGCTTCGCTCAAACTTACGCCACTAGGTGTGACGATAAAAATTGGAGCTCGGTAAAGCAATGCTGCAGTATAAATCACAATGAAATAATTTTCCTAAAACACATATAATTAAAGACGAAGAACGCTTTCCATTTCACTGGTTCGTGTAATCATCTTGATGTTATTTCAGAAAGTACTCTTCAAATTCTGATGATTCGGTTTAAAAACAACTAAGTCTATTAGATTACAAAGGATAAAAGCAACTGCATTGAATACACTTACCTCCAAACGCCTGTACATTAAACATTTTTACTTTAGTAAGGATAAATATACACGACAATCAAGAGCATTTCCAAATGAAGGCATTTACTCAAACATTAAGCAAGCTAAACGAGTTTTTAATTATGACTCAACTACATCCATCAGGAGTAGTCAAGGCATGATCTATGGTTTTATTACTGACGAAGTAAAACATCAGGTAAATGTAGTCGGTTTATTTTTATGGATTTCGTATTTAATCAAAACGTTCATTTGAATTCGACTACTTTTTAAGTTTCTCGATGTTGTCTGTCATTGGAGAGTCTCTTTAGATAAATACTAATAAGTACTATCCAAACGTTTTGTGTGTAAAAGAAAAATTATTTTATTTTTGTTTGTTAATAGAACGCAATAGAGTGTGGCTTTCATCTAGAGTGTTTATTTTTCGATTCTCGGCATTTAAAACATGTAGCTCATAATCTTCTTTATCGGAAAGATGATTGCAAAAAAGATCATTTGTGATATTTGCTCTAGTTTGTTTTTCCAGGTACTATAGTACGGGTAATGTAAAAATTCACAATATTAGATTCGGAACTAGTGCGCTTGAATGGATAATTATCGGAAATAGGAAGAAATCGTTTGTAGATTTGCAGCCAATTTCATACTGCAAAATTCAACGTTAGAACCGGTCAATCAAAGTGCAACTATGAAATAGCTCCTCCATTTTTATTCAGGCAGCAAAAATTTCATCTCAACAAAAGAAAAGTGATTCAAACTAAGGGCTAAAATATTGCCATGGGAAACACGGAATAAAAATACATTAGAATATAAGAAGTTTAGCCGATACAATAGAAAGAACATTCTGAACTTTTTAAGAGAATTAAATTAGTATGACTTAATTTATCAAATTAATAGCTATACATTGTACTTTTATTTTTATTGTTTGTCCCTACAAATTCGTTGAGTAATATTGTTCTCTTAGTCATGCACGTCAAAAAATAATTATATTGCAAAATTTTTATTAACCAGCTTTTTGAGCAATTTCTGAGCAACCTTTTGTAAATTTACTGAAGCAATCTTCAACGCGGCAGTGTACGATATTCAAGAATGTTATAACTAAAATCTTGTGACGATCAACAACTCGCATTTACTTATCATTTATTAAAATTTGATGAAATTGACCTTTTTGTGGTTTAAAATTAGCTGGAAGTCCTTGACATTAATCAGGCTGGACTCAAATGCATTTTAGTAGTCTGTGACCAGTTATCAAAACTACTCCTTTTTGAGTATGACTTCTTGAGAGTTGAGACATTGGTAACGTTCGGATAATTGATGTATGTATTTCCAGTTAAAACTAACGTCAATGTGTGCAGGGAAAAATAACTTGGATCCTAACCGATCCTAACCATTAGGGCATTTTTGATCTAACATGTTCCCAATTTGAGTGGATGTTTAATTTGATATCTGTTAATACGATCAATAACCAAATACTTTGCACTGTATTGGGAGAGACTATAGATATTCTCAACAAGTATATTAGAGTTCTATAAGGTAAAAAGCCTTCGAACAAAGCTATTCTTACTGTTGCAACAGTACTGTTTGACTAGTGTTTGTAGCAGGCTTGCTACCATTATAAAGTTTTGATTATGGAAGATATAGAATCTTGCAATTCGGGATCTTATCAGGACAACAAGCTGCTTTATACTACGTTGAATGTATGCGACAAATTTAAAAGCTTCCTTGTTCTTTTTGTTATCAAAAGAAAATTACACTCACCACAAATTAAATTATCATAATCTTTTGAAGGTTTAAAAATTTACATTTTAAAAGCATTACCTTGAAACAGCAAACTCTCTAAGCAAAACTCATTACACTGACAAAAACAATTTAAACAACAAGCTCAACAATTCATTTGTCCCAGCTTTCATGCATGCTACTAGTTATATATTTAGCTTTGTCTCCATCGATTTATTCAACGTAAGTAAAGAAAGTAAAGCGTGATTTACAATTAGAACCTGTTGAGGTAATAAGCTTGTATAGTAACTTACCTGTTTTTAGATTTTTTAATTTTATAAAGCAATTTCGCATTTCTCGCGCTCGGGCAGCAGAATACATCTAACATCTTCTTGCTTTTACCCAGTAATATACTATGTCTTTTCTTTAATAAACAAAATACTAACACCAACATGTAGTAAACGTAAATAAAAAGAACATCTAAGAAAGATGATGCAATATATGCGTGCAGCTACTGTTATGATAATCTGACTGCTTTTCTTGTGCAGATGGGTGGGAGGTGCACAAGACTGTAATAAAGAATTATTCACGTTCTGCAGAATTGAGATCTTTCAAATCGACTTTTTCGTTCCTATTTATAGCATGCATGAAAGAACATGTTTGGCCGCACGTTAAATAATCGTTTAGATCTTGTTATTTCACTGCCACTCCACACTGTAGCTCATGGCCATCGGTGTAAAAATTCCTTGTACATTATAGATTACAGGTAAAGAAAGAAACTGTTCGAAATTAAGTAATAACTTATCTTTTTCCGCTTTCAATTTTCCGCATTCTAGAAATTGTATATGTTGGGAATACAAAAAGATGCAGCCAAGTATTAAATCTTATGACGTCGTGAGCTAGAGCAAATGAGCTTGCGTGAAAGTGCTTGCATTGCATTTCAATAATTAATTTCTCTTCTTCATTTCATTTGTCTGCCATATCACAATAATACGGCTCGTCAGTAAAATGGCACAAAGCACGAATAGATCACATTTTTTTGTTAGTATAGGTTCTGCAATGTTGTTCTTTACAACATCAACTTTGATATGTGGATTTATTCGAAAAGAAACTGCGTGGAATAATTTTGGAATTCAAGCAATTGCGTATTCTCTTTATGTATGTATACCTATACGTAACTAAATAGAAACTCGACGTGTAGTGTGTGTATTTATGTTTCTTTACCAAATAAGCTTATTGCTAAACTTTTGACAAAGCAGCACAAGACGAGCACTGTTAATAGGTTTATTCAGCATAATTTATGGCATCATACTAATTGCAACAAAATAAATAACGCAATTATTTATGAAGTTACGTCGTCAATTATATGTCGTTTGTCATTTATATGTTACGGTTTGAAACAGCTACAATTTTAAGACTATACATACAGAACCAATCGACGACTGCGGATGAGAATCTTAAAATCTTCAGGAATATTAAATGTTCATGTTGTGTATATTTCATTAGAACAGCTCATACGTTAGATATATTATGATCTTTTGATACATTACTTGCGTTTCCTGTTTTGTAATCAACTCAAATTTTGCCATATTATAAGTTATGTCCAGTTTAACTAAAAATATTGTAATATGGTTTCGCTTATGATCAGTCCTACTTGTAATGTTATGAAGATTATAATTGTATGTACACCAAGCTATTCGCTACGCCATGATAACATCAGTTAGTATCTGAAAAACGAGCTCTATGTGGGCTACACTTGTTTTCCTTTTAATTTTTAAGGCATGAATAATTCTTTTTATCTCAAAAAAGAATGTCTCTGACATTAATTTTTAAATGGATATCTTTTCGGTACGTAAATCGCGCAGTCTATAAAGTATGTAAGCGGCATACACATAATAACATTTGCATAATACGTATGCAAATATTTATGTGAAAGTATAAACGGATATAAAATAAAGTGGTGCATATGAATTTTAATTGACCAGAACCGATTGTCACAAGGGCAATGAATTAGGATAAGTGCATATACGGACTGGAGATGAGCTCAAGGATTTGAATGGCGAATGAGTGCATAAAATTCGAATATAGGGATAGACGCAGATAAAACGAAATATTGCAAATACGAGGATGAAATACGGAAGAGAAAGTAAAATGAGGATTTCAGTGGAATGTGTGTGTCAGCGCCATTGCGCTAAAATAGATGGAAGGCTACGTCCGTCGAAATTTTGTTGCAAATAGAGCCCAATCTTTCTACGCAATTTAAATACACGGCCAATATAGACAGATGCGAAAGCTAACTTGTACAAATCAGCTCCTTAAACAAAACACAAGTTCTTTTTTCTTCTAATTTGGCATAAACTAACATGAAGTATAGACAACTTTCCACATTCAGATTTTTGTAACGTAAGCCACCATAGCCAACTATAGCAAGAACGCATTTTGCTATAGTTGTTTGTATTGGTTTGACTGTAAATGTGACAGAAACTAAACGTTTTTCTTCCAAAGTCGAAACTATTATTTACAAGATACTATGAACTTCGTAAAACATATAAACGCACATACAATTGGAAAGAAACATCATTTTTGTAAATTTATTTGAGCCCAAACAGTTATTATTAGTGTGTCTCCGTGGACGTACGAATTTAAAGAAAAACACAATTTTTAGTTCAAAAGATTTAGTTTTGAATAATAAATTCAATAATACTCGCCACATGTTAGATGAATGATTCACCTGAATGAATTTTGTGAGGAATTTTTCTATAGGTGCTCAAATATATTAATGAACATACCTGAGATTCTTATTAAATTCTATTCAGTTTTTTGAAATTTGTTTACTGTGGGTAGATCCACGTAATCTGCATTCTCAAAAGTAGAAAACTACTAAATGATGGTTTGCTATAGAAATTTCACAGCTTCATAGACTAAATAAATGCACAGACCTCATTACTATAATACACATTCCCTTGCATGTGCATTAGCTGTATATTCTCTCGTAGCAGAAAATTGCCAGTTGAAAGTTTTATTCATTTTTTTCTAAGATGATTGCACCTGGTGTATTATGCGTTATTTCTGGATTTATGAAAAGGTCAGCCTTGGTAAGTTGTTGTATGTTGATGTGATTACGTGATGATGTATGTTTTTTGATTGCATTTCTTCTCAGTTAGGGGCAACTCTTGCTTTAAATGTCATTGCTGTTATCGCATCATCTTTATGTCTGTATGTATCTGCTAAGGAATGGAAATCAATGGACAATTGTTATGACGGTTATTACCAGGGTAAGAAATAGAAGGTTATTTGCACAATTTCTCACTTTATGGTAGTGAAGAGACATTAAATATATGTTGGCAATAGCGTTGTCAGCTAGATAAGTAAGGGTGATTTCATTTATATACGCTTGTTGGCCTTATAAAGTTCTTTTGAAATCACTATGTAGCTGACATTTTACTAAATGGCTGCCAAATTGGTGGTGAAATAGAAAAGAATATTTTATCATAGTAATTAGGTGCACCAGCTCGTGTGGGTTATAGCAGTATTTATAGTAGATTTTTACATGAAACAGGTACCAAAAAAAAACTCAAATCTTTCTGAAGACTGCTGAACCAATACGTAGGACTAAGTTCAGAGCGGTATAAATTAAAACCGGCATCAACGCAACTCAAATTAACGTTCAGACCGTTTTTAAATAGCAACAACGCATGCGTACAGACGTAAATACATAAACAAAATTACTGGCAAGTGTAAAACTTGTATGCAAAGGAGGAATCACGTGAATGATACTTTTTCTTGATTACCTGTCGGTCCCGTGTAAACATGCAACAAATTCCAATTTCATTCCAGTTTCGTGTAAACAAAGCCTTAAATGTGGTATACCTTTGAAGTTGAAACGTAGTTTACATGGTGCGTTTTTTCGCTTTTTCAAAGTTTTTATGACATTTGCGATTTCTCATGTAAAGAAACCTTTAAACAAATGATGGATGGGGCACAGTGAATTTTCATAAATTCACAAGTCATAATTCATAAATAGTGTGCAAACACATGTCTAATTTATGAAGGGTTAACAGTTTAAAGGTAATATATTGAGCGAAGCTTCATGTTGATCTGAGAAGTCATATAAGTGCAGTCCTGAGCATGAATGTTGGAGCATGTTACTGTTTCTGTTCATTGATGTTTCAACAAACTTGGCAATAGCCCCAATACGTATTTAAAAAATGCACATCTTTGAAATCATCCGAGGATTATTTTTCGCATGATTTAGTAGTGCATTCTTCTAATGAGGTCTAAAGGCATTTAAAAAGATTTCATTGTTTTGTTTTGAAATTCAAAGTAGCTGAAATGTGCACGCACGTATCTTGTCTTCGACTTCTTTTACAGCTACATCAGGCTTGCCATATTTATTAGGTGCATAAACACTACGATAGGACATTGTTTCCAAAGGAAACGCATGGCTGTATGAGTGTCTATAATTCTATGGTGTACTCCACTTACGAACAATTTCAATGTTGGGTGCTTTTTATTTTTTCGTTTTTCAAGGTTGTTATTATAGGTTGTTTGTATTTTGCTGTTTAAATACTCAGAGAACAAGCAGACAGACGACAACGTGCAATTTCCGAAATAAATTGTTCTGATTGCCAAACCACTTACATTATTATTGCTGGCAGAATGAAAACACTACTCTTTGAACACAAAAGGCCCACAAAGAATTATAAAAAAGTAAACCAAACTTCAAAACATCACTGAAAAACACTTATACATAACATTGACTGCAGTGCAATAAAATGATCGTTGACTTTACATATAGCAGCGACCAGAGATGATGACATACTTTAAAGAGTTGATTCAGCAACTTACAACAAAACCTATTAGTTCGATTTATTACTTAGCTTTAATAGCTAAAAACTGAGCAACAAGTACGGTATGAATCTGATTTTTGCTCTTCACATATGACTGTGAAAATCTCTACTGCTATAAATACATCAAAACGTCTCCTGGGAAACGCCAGTCAACATAAACTAATGTCCTAATATGGTGTATCAACTTTAAATTTTTTTTAGTTATACATTAGCTACGATATTTTGTTTAATTAAAAAACACCAGCATAGTAAGTCAACTTTTTTTTATGTATTACTTTGATATAGGTTATTGTAAACAAGTCGCAAGTCAGGGTCAGCACTTTGCTGTCGGTATCATTACAATTTCCTCGACTTTAATGGCAATTATGAGTCTTATTGGATCAATTTATGGATGCGTCAGGATGTGTCCATGCTGCTATACAAATCAGGTATCATTAAAATATAAGAGAATGGTTTCTTCTTGGTTAGCTATAATATCGACAAGATCAAATATTTACACTTTTCTTTATTGTAATATGTCGAATGTTAATATATCCTATTTTTGGCAACTCAATATATTTTTCTGGCTTTTTTAACTGGTTTAAGACAACAGCCAAAGCAAGAGGGATTTGAACAAAAATGCTACTTTAAGATGCATTTCAAATTCTTAAATATTATCGATATATTATGTAATTTAAAATGTGTTCAAAATAAAGCAAAGTTTTATTCTCTGTACAAAAACTCATCGTGTCAGTCTGCACCTCCGAGAAAATTTTTGAAAAGTTTTTGAGATTAATCTGAAGGTAAATCTACATCAGTGCGAAATCATTCAAATTGTTGCTATGTCTTTTATTGCTGGTTATGCCTCAATATAAGCAACGCCTTTCCAATTTATTATTTCCATCTCTAAACTACAAATTTGGTTTTGGTTTAAATCTTTTTTATCACAAAAACTTTTTTCGTCAATATCCAACTACAAGTTTACTTTTTATAGACTTACGCACACATACAGGACGACTTCTCGGAGCCTTTGCAGGTCTTTCAAGTCGAAACAGGTCAACAAGTTCCTGGACCACCTCCTTACGTTGAACCATCCACATCACGAATATAGATTGAGGAATGACGCAGTTTCAATAAATTCTGCATCAAATTTTGCACATAATTTTAGTTACGCTTCATACCAGTCTATTTTCTTGCACTTGCAGCTAAAATGTTCAGTACGTCAAATTGTTTTTACAACTATAGTTACATATTAAATTAATTATAGCGTAACTTAAATTGTAATTAGTCTAAACATGTAAAATCTCAATAATTGACAGACGTAAATTTATTTGTTTTCAAATATGTGTTTTCCACAGTGAACAACATCTGTCTTTTGAAGTACTCAAAGATACCAGCTGTACAGGCTGCATAAAAAAACCGAAAAGTTTGGATTACGTCGCTAAATTCATCGACACGCAAGAATTGCAAATACCTTTGATGGAAATATAGTAGGACTTCCAATGTTAAATCTGACAGCAGAGTTTTTGTTGAAAATAACCATTTTTAATGAGTGAAAATTGTGTTTCTGAGAAGCACTTTTGAAATAGCTTGTGCAAGAAAATGACACGTCTAAAAAGCAATTGGAACACATAGGGGAAAATTATGTATAAGTTCGAGAGTAAATTATCATAAATATAATTACTTGATAAAGGTTTTGAAAAGATGGGCGAAGCTAGAGCAATAAGGGGGGAGTGATTATTCATACATTCACCTCTGCCCTGCTACTTTCGTTTGAAATTACAGTCGCAATCAAAACAAATTAGTCACGCAGTCATGAATATATGAATACACCGCCCCACTTAGGGGCTGTTTACATTAGCCCTGCTACCCGGACTACTTTTTAGCCCGCCCGGCTTTTTATGGCAATAATTGCGGCAATAATTTTTGGTCATCAATACATTAAAAAATACATTTGTCTGACACCACTAAACAAAAGAACGAAGAATGACCGTAGCTAGTTTCCATGGTAACTCTACTTTAAGCCCCGTCAGCCGGGCTGACATGTTTACATCGGAAAATTTACTCCGTTTAACTGGGCTCCTTTGCTTGCCCAAATGGGATCTCGCTAAACCTGGCTCATGTAAACTAAATTTTATTTTATTAGGAAGTTCCTAGCCCGGCTTTTAGCCTGGGTAGCAAGGTTAGCCCGGCTTCCAGGGCTCATGTAAACAGTGCCTTAATGTTCTAGTTTCGCCAATGATCTACGGTGAGTCAAAATAAATTATTGCAGCTCATTTTGGCATATTTTTAACATTCTAAAAAGTAAGTACCTAAAAGACAAATCTATTTGTAAAATTATGTTCTTTTAAAATTCCAAACCAAGAGTGTTTTTCTATAAGTACTTTAAACTCAAAAGTGAGCGGCTATAATTTATTTTGACGAATGCTGGATCGGCAGCTGTTTTTGAGCGCAAAATATATCAAATGTACTTCTAAGTAACACACTTCTCATTTAGAAAATGGTTATTTTATGCGAAAATTTTCTTGACGGATGAGCCATCACAAGTCCAACGACCTATTCCATTCAAAGTTTTTACAGACCGTTGAGAGCATAATTCATATCTATACATTTCTTTTTGATACACAATGTATACTATAATATTTTAATCCTAACACGGTTTTTAATAAGCACATGAAAAGCATGTGACTTGGACGAGATTTGAACTAACTTCGGGATACTAGTCCGCCGCTCTACCTGTTAAGCTACCAAGCCCACAGGGATTGGAGACGAGTCAAATCTCTTGTAAACTGCGTATGGACGAGAGATTCTCGCCACTGTAGCACTTTACTGGATGGCACCGTGTTTCGACTTTACTCCAAAGCCGTCATCAGTTTTTAAAACCGTGTTAGGATCAATATAATATATATATATATAAAGTAAATGGTTAAAACCCGGGAGTATCGTTACGTGTTTGTAAATGTAGATCGTCCAGGTTGGTATAGTCCTGAGAGGGACTGTTTTTGTTGTTGTTGACTGACGTTTCGACAACCTTAGCGGTAGTCATCTTCAGAGTCAAATGAGGATTAAACGTCAGGTTAGCCGTATTTGTTAACTGGTTCTTACGTCATTGTATTGTGTGTACAGGAAATGTGTATTGTAATTGTGAATAAGTGTGAAGTGAAATATTTTTAGTTGATTGTTTGTTTGTATTGTGAATAAGTCGTTTGTAAGGTGCCGGTAATTGCTCTGATCTGCTCAGGGGGGTTTGTTCCAAGTTGGTATACCAACTTTCTAATGTAAGCCGTTGTCTATAGTCAGTACTGTAAATAATGCATTTTTCGGAGTCCCAGTCAATGTAGTGCTTTGTGATTCGGTGATGTTCGACAGTGTGATTAGTTTTGTCTTGTTTCTTAGTAGCTCGTTTGTGTTCAGTAAGTCTTATGTTTAAGTTCCTGCCAGTTTCCTGATATAGGAGGCGTGGCAGTAGGAGCAGTTTATTTTGTAAACTGCATCTTGTCGTTCGTTGGGTTGTTCTTTGTCCTTTATGTTCGTTAGTACTTGTCGTAACGTTGTGATTGGTTTATGTGCGACACGTATGTTGTATGGTCGTAAGATACGCGAGATAATCTCAGACGTACCTTTGATGTAACGTATCGTTGCTTTTGTCACTGAGTTGTTCGTTTCGTTGGGTTCGTTGGGTTTGTAAGTGTTGCGTTTGATAAAGTCAGAGTTTTAGTTCTTTTTGTCAAAAACACGTTTAAAAAACATCCCAACTAAAAATATTTCACTTCACACTTATTCACAAGGACAATACACATTTCCTGTACACACAATAAAATGACGTAAGAACCAGATAACAAATACGGCTAACCTGACGTTTACTCCTCATTTGACTTTGAAGATGACTACCGCTAAGGTTGTCGTAACGTCAGTCAACAACAACAAAAACAGTCCTTCTCAGGACTATACAAACCTGGACGATCTACATTTACAAACATATTATATATATACTCTAATGATGGCCATGTATACTATACATGCCATTCTTTTCATGCACGGCTTTATTATGTTATTACATTCACCACGAGAAATTATAAATCTATATGAAATTATTTTTCAACCAACATCTTTTATTATACGTTTAAAAATTAACAACGTAATATAAATTGCAATTTTTTCACAACATGTAACTTACCATTTAACTTTAAAGCCATAAATAGTTAAGTGAAATTTGTGTAGGTACATATGTGTTCTTTATCGGCTTGGAGATCTGTACGGAAAAAATATTTTCTTGAGGTCTCAAAAGTGGCCCGAGCCAAGCTCTATATATGTTTTATTTTTTTATGAAGTAATTGGCGTTTTAAAATGACCTTGGCTCGACGTAGCTTGATGTTGACACTAAAATTGGACAGTAAAATTTATTCTTGCTATGATAACTTTCAACTGAATGCACTTTGCTTTCTCGGTGAACAATTTAAAACGCTTTTAAATCAATTTTAAAAATTAGCATTTCACTTCGTAAAGAAATGCATTGCGAAAAAATATGTTAAGACTTAAATTGGATTGTCTTCTACAAACTTCGATTTGATAGTAAAATTCACTCTTGCTATGATAACTTTCTTAAAAATACACTTTGCCCACTCGCTCACCAATTTACATCGCTTTTAAATCAGTTTTAGAAACTTACATTTTACTTCTTAAACAAATACATTGCTAAAAGTATTTGTTCACGAGGTAAACGAAAAAAAAAGCGAAAAAATATCCCTTCTGCCTACGGGCAGATATAGTAAAAAGCTACGCGCTAAGGCAGCCAATCAAATCGCTGGAAATCAAAAAAATATTGCTTTGGAGGAATAAATAAAAAATAGATACATATATTTTTAAATTAGATCACGGGCTTGAGATTTCTATGATGCGATAGTTGATGAGGTTTGTAGAATCGCATACTACTTACAATGATGTCATATTTCAATGATGAATACATCTTGCAGTTTTCACGACTGAATACATGTATAATACACCATTATCATATATAGATACAGTAATACAATTATTTACAAGCATTAAGATCAATAATAATAAAACTGAAATAAGGACTAAATAAAGGATATACATAAGCAGATCGAATATACAACGTATGGTTAACCTACAATTTAAGAGACATGTTCCTTCGAGAAATTTGGAGTATAAGAGTTTTTAGAACGATTTGTGCAATAATTAGTTGCATAAAATGTTTTATTTGTCTTTAGCTGATTTTAAATGCAATCAGTTCTTTGAGGTAATAAATTGTAAAGTTTGTGATTCTTATCCTTCACTATATCATTAAAGAATCTGCTACTGAGAGATTCACATCTGTCGAATAGGGTCGGAATATCAGCTTTTGTTAATGCATCTTTATAATGTACTCCAGGAAATATGATGCCCATGGCTCTCTTTTTTTTATACGCTCTAAACCATCAGATAGATATTATGGTAGAGCAGAGCGAAATACTTGGAAAGAATACTGAAGAATTTGTCTTATTATAGCGCAGTAGAAACAAACAAGGTCTTTTTTGTTTACATCAGCCCGCTTCAACTGCTTAATGACGTATAGACGTTTTGCTGCCCTTTTAGTGATAACATTTATGTGGTCGTTCCATTTCAAATAATTTCTTATTGTGAGTACCAAAATTTTAACATTTGAACTCTTTCGAAAAGTTGATCATCGATTTTGATTTCATCAAACGCTGGAGTAGTTTTTCTGAAACATATGATATTTTTTTTACCATTATTTGGATTAAGGGTGAATTTAATTTCTATCGACGACTTAGCAATGTGGTTGATTTGTTGTTGTAGATAAGTTCTCGATCATATGAAATTAATTCTGAAGTAGTGGTGTCATCTGCAAATTTGCACATTAGTGATTCCGTTTTTCCAGATATTTCTAAGTCGTTGATCATGGCTAAAGATAGCCATGGTCCTAGACAGGTTCCTTGAGGCACTCCTGCAGGCACGTTTTTCAATCGGACACACACTGATTGAGTTTCACGGCTCTAAGAAAATCAATAAGCCAGTTGATGGTGGAAGGGTTAATCCCAAGACTTAAAACCATGTCAGTTAAGAGATTATGATCCATCGTATCAAATGCTTTTTTAAAGTTTAGGAAAACAGCTCAAACTGCGTCTATTTTCCGTCAGTCATTTGTAACCAATGATGAATCATCGATATGAGAGCATGGGTAGTTGATGATTTGGGCATAAAACCATATTGAGGCTTATCGATGCATCTTAACATGACTAGTTCATATCTTTTTCAATAACAAATTCTTCTGCAATTTTTGGATAGAGTGGAAGTAAGTGATATCGATCTCAAATCCTGGGTAAAAACTTTAATAATTGATGCTTTAGACAGTGGGACGGCTTTGGCAATTTTCCACATCCTAGGAACTTGACAGTTTAAGAAAAACAAATTTAAAATTAGTATGATTGGTAGCGTGAGAATATCTGCATAGTCTTTCAGTATCCAATTAAGGAGACCATCAGGACCGCCAGCCTTTGAGCGACTAATTTTTCTTAACTCTTTAACAACCTTGATTTCGTCGAGGTTAAGCAATAATATTATGCAATAATAATGGCAAATATGCTTAATAATTTTGTCACGTGTCATCTGATATCAATAAAAGAGAAAAGTTTCCTTCAATTTGTCAAAAGCAGTTCGTTGCCGAAACGAATATTTCAGATTTAGTCATGTCGATTACATTTTATACTCAAGGTGGAAGTACACTGATTGTTGATAGCAATAATTTAGTAAATGGAGGTTATGCCGATTTCACTGATGGTGATTACGTTGCCGCAGAGTCTGGTGCCGGTTCACGGATAGTTTACAGAAATAAAAACTACAGCCCTGAAGGAAAACTTGACATCATTATTGCACCAGAAAAAAAGGGAAAGATAACGTTAAATCGGTGTCAATGGATAAACAAGACTCGTTCCTACTGAGAATTCTCGTTTGATGCTGTTTGAGCATGCCAATAATTGCGAGCATAAAAACGTAACAAGCATTTTTCATGTTTATTCACATTAATTAATGCATTTAAGACACGCATAAAAATATATTCAATTGCTGTCTTTATGTTTCAATTAACAAAGCACTGTTACTAGAATGTACATAACTGGATCAGTATTAGTACTTGTCTTCAAGTTTCTCGTATTATTCGACCGAAGAAAATTTAATTCATGGGTGTAATGGCTTGCGATTCTAACAATTCTCTCAATTCCTGTGATATTTTTAAATATTGCCATTCTAAACAAATGACCGAATTATACAATTATAGGCGCAAACGAAACCATTTTACAAAAATACATTATTTATGCAATATATGCTGTCCTAATACAGAGATCAATTATGTTACTGCACATTTACTATACTTACAGCATTGAACTAACATGTACAGAATTTTCCAAAATTATTTCGTATGTACTCCCCTGTTTCAGAGGCTTGTTCGGATCGGTAATTCGACTGATAATTAAATTAATAGCACATTTTCGCAATCTGTAGTATTTTTCAAAGTTCCATTTTTACTGCCGTCTATTTGTGGCTAAACACATGTACGCTCTACGTACCTATTTTTAATATACTGTATCTTTTGTAATCATTTGGTTAAAAAACAATGTGCATAAAGGCTCATCTCTGCAATATAACTGTCAAGTAACGTATATATATGGTAGCACATTATACTGAATATTTCTGAAATAAATTGAATTAGTATATGACTTGCATGCAACAGCATTGAGTAATCAATTTAAAAATGCAACTGGTTTTATAGCTTTGCCATGTCATAAAAGGAGCCAAGCGTTTTTACTAAGGCCAGTGCCAATTATGTGAATATGAATACCAATAGTTATATGAATGTGTCAATAGTAATGACTATATAAATAAACGACAGCACCAAAACAGTATGAATTTCAATAGACATGATTGTATGAATCTTAATACCAATGACTATATGAATGTCCACACAAATAATTACATGGTGTTAATACCAATCATTTCATACAACGTAAATGGAAATACCAACGTATAGTTGTACAAATTCCACTACTAAGACCATATGAAAGACAATTCAATTCACCAAAGATCATATGAATTTTACAAATGACTGTCATACCGATGTTTAAATGAATATAATAACATTGACTATATGAAATTCAATGCCAGTTATTACATGAATGCCAAATTGCTTTATATTGAACACAATACCTTGAAAAACTGTTATTAAAATTGTTACACAACATAAGGGTGGCTTGTCATGCAGTGTCGCAAAAAGGTTTGATAAACTTTTTTGGAGGGCTTTAGCTTTTGCTAGAACATGTATATCAATTAATTAACTCCCCTCCTTTAATACTCTGAAATACCTCTGCAATCGTATTTTGCTACTTCACTGTGACACAACGTAATAGCATAATGTAAGTAATAACAAAGATGCACGTATGCATATATTTCCTTTTAGTATTTTCTGTATCCCTTGAAGCAAAAGAGCAATTTAGGAACGAAATTGACACTGAGGTCTAGGTTTTGTACTGGAATTTCACAAACACTTTTGTACCAGGTGTTAATATCGGAGCTTGCCTACTTTTTAAATTATTATTTACTATGCATTATTCATTTACTTTTAATGCCAGATTCGGTTGATCAACTAAGGGAAAAATTAATGGGTGGGGTGTCAAAGCGGCCGCGGAAAAAAACCGACAAATTGAATAATAATAAAAAATGGCCAGCATGTTTCAGTTTTCAAACTATTTCAAAGAGTTTGGCCCCTCTTTCTTAATCTGTTGTGTCAAATCATTAGTGAGATAGGTATTTGCACTGCCAATGGTTCATCGAACTTTGGGAGAAAACGTCCAATTATAAAGTAAGAAATATTTTACCAAGAAAGGAATTTTGAAATATCTTGGCACAAAAATGACACAGCTTAAAACTACAGGTTAAATTATGGCACATGTTTCATACTTAACAATATTTTAGGTAATTAACTTATGTATATGAGAATTTATCAAGTCCATTTTGTTTCATGCCTCATAAAATAATAATAATCCGCAAATTTGATGCCTAGCTCTCACATATGGTGTATCTAAATTTCCATTGTGATTTAACTGAACTCGTTTTGAGGCAGGCTTTCTTTAATTTGCGTCATTCCCAAATCTATGTGTGACGTCGTTGGCTCATTGTAGAGATGAAGCTGAGGATTTGGTTGAACTGTTTCGAGTTTAACGACTGGAAAAGCTTGGGAAAGGCCATTGTTTACGTTCACGCCATCCTATAATTCAACAAGAAAATTTAAAATACTAAAAATCACAATCATTTTAAGAAAATTACCGAGTGCAATGGTAAACAGTCGACAAAAATAAACTTGATAAAACATGGTGCGTGAAAAAAATAGACTCTTCAACAAAGTTCTTGAAAACATTGCGTGAGTTGGATAAGCACTTAGTGATGATAAGGCCTAGTTGAAACGTCGAACTTTACATGAACCGAACGCTCTTAAAACAAATTAGGTCGTTTGAAACAGGCCTAATTACTTTAACGCTCTGTCGGATCTAGGGTAAGTCAAAATAAACCACTACAGCACAGTTTGGCATAAACTTACATTTTAAGCACCTTAGATGTCTATTCATTAATGAAATTACATTCTTTAGGAGTTCAAAACCAAATAGTGTTTTTCTCACAGTACTTTGAATTTAAAATAAAGGAGTTATAATTTTATTTTGACGAACGCTGGATCCGCTGCTGCTTTAACGTTATCTGGCACGGCTGGCAGTGAACTTTTGGGAAATGAGGGATATTTTACAAGAGAAACAACCGATGTTCAAAGTTTTTTGTAAAAAAGGCATTTCGCAGTGGTGGATATAGGGTTAGTCAAAATAAATTACTGCAGCATATTTTAGAATATATTTAAATTTCTAAGCCCGTCAGAGACAAGTTCATTGGTAAAATGATCCTCCTTAGAAATTTAAAACCAATAGCGTTTTTCTAAAAGTACTCTGATTTTAAAATTAAGCAGCTTTAATTTATTTTGCTCGCTGCTACTCACTGTGACAACCCCTATGTCCGATATTGGCCTTTTGCATGACGAATGCTTATTAAAAATAGAATTTGATCACTGTCAAATAGAGACTGCGTTTTACAATCTATTAAAATTTGAAGGAAATTGAAGAGAGCGCTGCGCCGTAAAAACGTTTTTAACAGGCCTAAATCTACTTCATGCAGTAGCTATACATACTTGACAGGCTTCCAACACTACGCATTTCATATCTATTTTTACTTATTTTATAGACTCAAAATATTTCACGCCTTGTTGAATCCCGGTCACCCGTCTTATGTGAGCAGACTAAAAATGTCCCGCAAAACCAATGGAAGTTTAATAAAAATCCAAGGGCGCGCAGGACGTTTACAAAATTTCTCAAGGCTTAAGTAGGCATTTAATCACTACCATCCCTTAAAACATGCGTTTACTTTGTAATAACATGGATGAGGATGAATAAATAAATGCGTTAGACTTTTCTTTTTGACAATAATTTGATTAAATCTTGAGCTCACTTATTGTAATATTGACAACCATTGATGTTGTTTGAAACGTACAATGTTCACAGTCATGGCGTAGGAGTATCAAAAATTTGTGGGGCACATATTCATTTATGCATGCTATAATCTTTAGAAAATAATTGATTTCAAACTAAAAGAGCTTAACACTGCATATCATGAATGCATAAATATGAGCTCCCTCCTAATTATCAATCTTCTTACGACAATGTTCACAGTAGAGTCGCCAGCCTGACTTTTTACTGCCGCTATGCAAACATCTTAGTATTCACTGACAGTGAGAACAATAGATTTCTAAATAAAGAATTGTAATCTTTCAGAATTTACCAAGCGGGAGTGAATCTTCTGTTTGTTCATGGTCAAGATGTAATAAAAATCTAGCTATTTGATTGGACATACTTTTTGCGAATTTGTTCAGTGAACCTGTGCATGAATTTGCTTTGCAAATACGTATTGTATTTTAATTATTGTTAAAGTTATTTATGGTCATCACTGGTTTTCCAAAGTTAGACCATGTTTGTGATCAATGAAAGCTGTAATTAAAATTCAGACTGGTCTGAAATGGTAACAACGAATGCGGACAAAAGCAAATTACAAAAACAAAATGGCCAGCAAGTGTAAAAGTAATCTGCGAAGGAGGAATTACACGACTGAGGATTTTTGGTGATTTTGTGCTGGTCCCATGTAAACATGCAAACAAATTAATTCCGATTTTCATTCCGGTTTGACTTCGTTCCTTAGTGTCATAAGAGTTTCTGACGCAAGGGAAAGACGATTTCTGTTGTCACTAGACTATATAAGTTGTGAGGCACTAAGGCTTGTAATAATGTAAATTTAGCAATTTTGAAATATAGGGTAAATTACCGGCGAAACATTTATTCCTGTCTGACTCTAAGGAATCAACGATGCAAGAACAGTAGAGCAAGAGGACTTTGACCAACTTTAGACCTTTTAAACTTGCCTTTAAAGTATTTTTTCAAAGATTCAAAGACATCATGCTATTAACTTTTTCATTCAGCAGAATTGAAAATTATTCATACGTGGCAAAGTAAAAATGCGAGCAAAAACAATTTCTAATGGACGAAAATAAAATGTGAAATAGAGGCTTATTGTTTTCTGATAACAAAAGATCCCGAGGCAACCATGTTATTACAATATATTGATTTGAGTTGTGATCAACCTTTCTAATAAATATGAAATATATGCATGCAGAATTACAACTTGGATGTATAATGAAACACAAACTGCGCACTTATACAAACTTTAAAGGTTTTTTTCAGTGTGATATTTTACATTTTAAATGACAATATCATTTAGTTAAGCTTAAAAGCAGGTGTCTTGTAGTTTAGATACCTCATTTGTTAAACAGCATGGACAAGTGATAATGCATCCATAAATTGATCCAACAAGACTTATAATCCCCATCAAAGCTGAGGGAATTGTGATCAAACCAAGAACAGCACGCTCATCTGTGTCATCACAATCGTCTATATAACAGTTATAAAAGTTTTTTCAACGAAAGTTTGCTTGCCTTCGTGGCATTCTTTCGAGGAGGGATTTGTTGGTGGAATAAAATCATAAATCATTACTCGTAATTTGTTTACTAAAAATAAATCTGACAAGCCAACGGGGCTCAAAATAACGGCCAGTCAACAAAAATTGACCAGCTGAAAATGCTTCTTCACTTGCCAACTTTTTACCACCGCTAATTTTAACTTGTCATCGTTTTCATGTATTCCCAAAAAAGCAAGTTAGTAAGGCGATGCATGGTAACATACGGGACGCTTAGAACGTCATATAGAAACACGTGATGGGTTTTAGCGAATGGTAAAAAAGGCAACTTTCACCTAGGTAAAATGAAGTTGACGGGTCGTTGATTGAACATATTTGGCGGCTATTTTGAGCCATGGGCAGCTGTTTTTAATTCATTATATAAATGGATTGATTACATATTTCAGCTAAACTAAATGTTTTTTCAAGCATTGTCTAAGGAGCGGATCTGAAGGTAAGGAATTTGTCTCTTGATATCGTCAGAAATATTAACTTTTGCATTATCTCACTACAGCGCTTGTGTTGATAAATATTACGATAAAGACTAAATAATTAAATAATACGAGAAAGACTGAAATAACTTACTTAAACGTAGATAAATTTCTAGTTTCTTACATTCAAACCACATTAGTTCAACAGAATCCTTATTAAACAGTAATAAAATTTTATCTAATAGATAACAGTATAAAGATTTCAACTAGACTCTACATGATCCATTATCAATAACAAATTATGACTTACAAAGTTTTCGATGATTTAATTACATTTCTCCGAAGTTTACATCGGATTTACACATAAATAAGCATTCATCATTGCAGTTAGAATGTTGTGCAATTTGAAATTTTATTGCACATAATGAAACGGGTGCCAAGCCAAATAAAATGCTGCTTTTTTGTGCAAGCGACAATACGAAATTTTGATCGACACCTTAGGGTTGATTTCGTAACGCTGTGACTCTGACATCGCTGCAGATGAGAGATGGTAGAAAAGTCACACAGCAAAAATAAAAATATGCAAAATATTTTAAATCTCTGCTAGTGTATAAGTTATTGATAACTCTAATACTATGTTTTTATTAGAAACCTTAAATAGCGTTTTCGCAATTAATTGAACACTAAACTTAGTATAACACCACCAACCCAATCCCTCATTTAAATTAAGATCCATTAAAATATGCAACGTCTTTTTTGGCTTTGGAAGGGTAACGAGAGTTGCATCACTTTAGTAGCTACTAAATTGGTATAAAGGTGCAACGTAAAATTTAAAATTGGTATTATACTGATTTTTCATTCTTACCGTAATAATAATGATAGTAATAATCAGAGCATCTGTCTAAAGATTTCCATTTCCTAGCAGATACATAAAGGCAAACAAAAGACGTGACAGCACCAATGACATTTAGAGCAAGAGTAGCTCCCAACTAAAAAATAATTTTCACATTTTGTTTTGGTTGGAAGTTTTCAAAGGATTTTTCATTCGGAAAATCTTGACCAAAACTGCAGGCTGACACAATAGCAAATAGCATACCACACGAGTAAGTAGAAAAATCAGTTTACAACAAGTGTTATTAACAAAAAAATAACAACATCATTACTATAACATACATAACCACAACTTACCAATGCTCGTCCCTTCTTGAATCCACATATAACACACAGTACACCGGGTGCAATCATCTTATAACAAAATGTATGAAAATTAAAAATCTCTTTTGCGTGCTACCATTGTTTGCTGGTCATTTGTACTTTGTTAAACCAATGTGGGCAAAACATATTCTTTCTTAAAAGTATTCTAAATTTTTGAGAAGCACTATTTGTATTTGTAAACGTCATTTGAATGTTGTAGCTCAGGGTGACCAAAGTCAAAAATTTCATACTTTATAGAATATCTCTATTTTGCAAGACAATTTTTATGCAGGATTTGATTGAATTCTTATTTAAACCTATTTAATATAACACCCTTATTTACTCCTTTATACGGTGCCCACAAATGATTTTAACGTTCACAGTTAGAAGATCATACAAAAAAAGAGGGTCTCAAAGGATTGAGCGCTGCGTCCAAATGAGTGCTGAATCTACAATTCTAAAACTTTGAACAGCGCTGCGTTGCCCAAACAAGTAAATACATAAGCAAATACAATTTGAATATTGACACAAACAAAAACCATGCTCACTGTGCAGCTTATATGATTGCAGAATAGCGTTAATGCAGTTAGAACTCATAAGATGTTTTTTCTACAGACACGCGTATCTAGAGCTCAAAAATCGACCACAATGAACAGGAAGAATCATAAAAAACACGGCGGCTAAATTTTCCATGTGGCGCATGCGTGTTTTATCGTTTTTAAATTCATAACGGCTAATGTCATAGTCTTGCATCACAAATGATAAATTATTGTTTTCAAAGCAACTTATTTTATATAAAGGTGTGTACGACAAATGACAAACTTTATTATATATAAATGTGTTTTTTGCAATTTTGGCGTTTGAAAAGCATTTGACTAAACAAAATTACATACTACAATCAGTGGAGGATTATTCAGAAGGCTAAATTTACCGAATACTACAGGCCGTCTTCCCGGGAGGGCCGTTGTATTTAGACATAGTGTTTACTCTTTGACATACTCCAGACATACTCTTTGGGATTCCGGAATTCGCTAAATGTCCTAAAGTTTGACCATGATGTTAGAAATTGTACGATCTACTGTTTTAATGCACGTGAGTTTACCACGTTTGAACTTTAAACTTTATTCCTTATTGTTTACACTGTGAGTTACAAACTGAAACCGGGAAAGGGGCAAAAGCAAAGGAGCCAGGGATGGCGCCAGAGTAGGCAGGAGGTTGTAGAGGAGGGCATGGGTTAGCTAACATCTGTTTTTCGTCTTAAAAATGTTAACACTGTGGGAAAGTGTGGCATACTCTTATCCTTATATTATTTCTTTGAGCCCTTCCTAATCTCCTTCAAATGTACTTTTTTCTATTTTTATCACAAAACTTGATGTATCACCCTTTCTGATAATAAAAATCGGCTACAGGTTTATATATATGTCAGCAAAACAATGACACTCTTGCACAAAAACTGGGTATTCATTGCAATTGAAAGGTGACTTTAAAACGTAAGAAAAAGTGTTTAAAATTTTCACTTCGAGAATGACACTCAGAGGCGTAATTAGAACGTCAATTGAGGGAGCGGTGTATGAATAATCATGTGCTCTGTTGTGCTTCGACTAATTTCCTTTGAAAGCCAATTCACTTTCAAAAGAAATCAGTAGGGCACAAATGAATATATGAATATACACCCCCTGCCTCTAGTTACGCCTCTGGTGGAACATTTGTATTTCTAGAAGCAATATTGTACTTCATAGGTTGTCACTTCAAATCATAGATTTTCCATTGTAAACGAATTTTTGAATTGTTCAAAAATGTTCCTATGTTTGTCAAATTGTGAAACATGTACACGCATGGCAAAACGTCATGTAAAATTAAAATAAGAGTAAATGAAGACAATGCACATAGCAAATGGCCTGCAAAAGGCAAATTTCAATGACAAAATACTTCAAGAATGTAGGTTTTGTTGTTTGAAAACAAAAAAATTTGAGTTCAGCGTATCAAAAACTATAAGATTCCGTAAATTTATATTAGTAACGGGATGATAACGACGGAACTTAAATGATTTCCAGCCAATTTTCTGGTACACAGCCACGACCTACATGCTCAATGAACTGCTAAACACATATATTAAAAAACATTTAATCCAAAGTGCATTTACTTTAAAATAAAGCAATGGAAAAGTTCAAAACCATTTCAACCTTACAAGAAACGACGCTTTTGGACTCGACCTGGCCGGAAAAATGCTTGGTGGGACAACTCTGTTCACGAAAAATACTATAGACTTATAGTTCATGACGAGTATGACGAGACTTTGTAAACAACAACAGAAGTTGGCGGCCTTTGGTGAGAATGTAATTAGTGCAGGCTTTTCCTCATGCTTTACAGTGAGCATGCTCTAAGCCAAATCGAGGAATTAGCTATAATATACCGTATTAGTGTGGACGCAAAACATTTGTTTTGTTTTTACAACCAAAGTTGCGTTTTTCGAATTTATTCGGCATAGTGTGGACGAGGCCTCAGACAAGTACAATATACTGTACGTGTCAACAACGCCACGATATTGACACGATGGCAAAATCTTACATTTTCCTTCATGTTTCGTTAAAATTTGTTGTTAGAATGTACATATTTCGTCTGTTTTCAAAGTTTAAACAATATTTGGCATAAAAATATTTTTAAATTGAACAAGAACATTGTAATTAAGCACACATACATAAAAAGAATACGTTACTGCTCCAACTCTATAAGTACTGCTCCCCTGTTCTATTCGTACAAATTCACATGTCAATGCTATTGTGGTTAAAATCAACATTGTACATCCCATTCCAAAAAACCATTTCGAGCAAAGTGGTCTAAATGCCATTTTAGCGAGCAAAATATGATTTTGATAAACCAGATGGATACAAAGCTAAAGCGAAATTGATCTCTTTGTGTGAGTCATGTGACGTCTCACGTGAACGGAACAATGATTTTGGGGTCAGTTAACGGCCAATATTCATTTTCATGCTTCAGTGCCATGTTTCCATGGGAACTTTGCTTGCGACAACGCTCGCTTAAATTTATGAGGCATGATTATTTAGTGATGGACCATCAATGCTTTACTTTCGATAGCCTAAAGGACAAACTGTATCTTTTAAAGGCTTTCTGGGAGAAGTTGGTATAAATAATCGTTACAGTTTGTCTCGAAGGCTGCCATTATTTTTTAAGCTCTCATGATTTTTATAGTAATTTGACAGGTTGTTTTTTTAACTATTGTAACATCATGTCAGATGCCCATGTATTCGCTAGGCGATATACTAATTTGCAAGGACAGATGCAAATAAAACACTGTCCTCTAACTTTGTATCATATTTTGCATTTTCTAATAAATCTGAATATGATGTTTCCGACCCAGATGAGGACATTTCGAAAAAAAAAGAAATTACTCGAAATATTGGCGAAAATATTGATTATTTTACAAGATAAATAACTTTTTTGAATAGAGCCTACGAAACTGTGTTACGTACACGACGTCACAACATGTACAGGATACCAGACCCCATTGGGGAACAAACATAGTGAAAATCTGGACTTATAAACTGCAATTGTGAAGAAAGCTTTGATCTCCATTCATTTGTTTTTTTAAACTTGTAGTTTTGAAGAACTGCTGTTTCAAACTACATTAAAATTTTATAAGATTTATATGCACTTTAAATTAGGCATAGTGTATACAAAATAAATATTCGCGGGATTCGAGTTCAAATAATGCAAATACTTTTTTCCTTTTATCGTATAACCAAATATATAATATGAAATTAGACATTAAAAACGTGTGATTTCGCACTTTATGCGTACTTTGGCAATAATTTCGTTTTCAACAATATGGAAAATTACTCTACAATCCAAATTTAGTCGAAATGTCTGCAATATACTGAATATTATTTTCAAATCAATTTTACATAGCTATTTCTACTAAAACATAAAATCATTAGTCAATAAAATATCATTACTGATAACTGCTTTGCAATAAATTATTAGATCATCATTAGAGCACAATGCATGGTATCGCGCAACTTAAGCGTTCTCCTTTGCTGTCTTAAATCTTTGAACTTAGAACACCTCTGAATTATCTGATATGAGACCCCTTTATTTAGAAAGTTGTTAAATATATTGTAGGTAAGTAAAATGTAAAAACTACTTATCTACTAACAGACTGGATATAGCTTCTATATGGAGCAAAACATTGATCTGAAAAGTTATTATCTGGATAAAGCTTCTACGTATGAAAATTGAAGCCAGACACACCCGATTCTTGGGACCACTCAATTACAACATGGCGTGGAGTTAGTTGAGCGATTGCGGCGATGCTTTGTCCAAAATTATTTGTACATCAACAGCAGCAGTTTTGGGAATAACAATCAGTGTAGCATGGACAAAACATCATCACGATCGCTCAGGTAACACTACGCCATATTATAATTTAGAGGTCCCAAGAATCTGGTGTGTCTGGCTTCAATTTTCATAATGGTTTTATACGTAGAAACTCTATCAGGTACTACTTTTCAGATCAATGGAGCAAAAGTGAAGCCTAATTATACATGCTATCACAAGAGATGGATATTACCATAAAAATTTATTACATGTTTGTAGATGTAGATCGTCCAGGCTCGTCGAGTCCTGAGATGGACTTTTGCTGTCGTTATTGACTGACATTTCGACAACCTACAAACATGGACGATCTACATCTACAAATATGTAACGATACTCAAGGGTTCAAACAATTTACTTCATAGAAATTTTTGGCGGATAACGTCTACAAACAATGATTTTTGAATTTTTAATGCACATAGTGATCTTTAACTAATCTCAAATTCCCTCTTAGATTAAACAAGTTATGTAAATCAGTTTAACATTTCGTAATCATTTGACAATTGCAAGAATCGAATTTGCCCCATCGTTGCCAAGGCACAATAATTCACAGCTCGCTTTCCAAGCTCAGAGGCAGTTATGATCTAGAAAGAGTTTCAATGCTTGAAAAATGCCATTCGTACCAATTCTTCAGCAATATTTATAATCTAAAGATTGCTGTATGCTACATTTTCTATGAAGCTTGTTATCGACAAACGTATCTAACATGTATCGACTGCATTCTATACAAAGCGGTATCATCAGGAATTGACTGTTGAAGCTTTATTTACAGAGCAATGTAAATATTATACACTTTGTCTGAAAATAACAATTGGTCTCAGTATTAACGTTAATTAATATAAAAATGGATAAGCATTATTTACAAAAAGTTCTAACTTAATTTCCATAACGGAAACTGAACCCGCGCCTTGTGGTGAATACCATAAATCCTATAACACTAGACCATATGGAAGCGGTGATACAGCTAAAAGTTCTATCAAATTTGTTACATAAAAATTATTTGAACAGTTTTACCTTCAGAATGAACGATGAAATTATTTGTTAATTACTAAATCATCTTTAAATCTGATCGATAATATATTTTATCACAAATAATTTTACATTTTAAGGTTTTACATTTTTTTGTCGCTTTAATATTAAAAAGCAAATTGTTTTGTGGGAAAAATTTACTGTAGCTTAAAAGAGGTCTATGAACTCATGGTAGAACAATTTGGTGTAAATGCAAAATATATGTAGCAACTCAAAAAAGACAATGCTCTAAGATGATATGGAGTTACCTTAATCGTTTTAGTTTTTCATTCGCATGTGGAAAGCAGTGAAATGAATGACCACATCTTCAAATCAAAGTTTGACAGTTAATAGCCTTTTCTAAACAATTACCTAGAATCAAATGGGCGAGCTGGGCTGAAAATTTATATATCTAACTAAAAGTTGCAGTATACATAATGATAATTCGTTATAAATTAATCACACTTGAACAACAAACAATCAAAGGGCAAAACAAGTAAAGCAAAATAATATTTTTGTTGGACTAGATAAGCCAAGCACCTGACGTGGGATTTGAATCCATGACCCTGAGATAAAGAGTCTCACGCTCTACCATAGTTATGTTTAATAAGCTAGATAGCGCATTGCAATACACCGCCCAAACAAAAGTTGATGCCATAGTAATCAGGTGCCTCTATTGTTAACACGCAATTACTTGGTTCCACTCGAGGAGAAAAAACAAACTTTAGTAAACGACAGAGCTTAATGACGACGTATTTTTGTTATTTTGGAACTTAAAGCCATGCCTACACATAGCAGATAAAAAACAACTTTTTGCAGTATAATTACTGCTTGAACAAGCTTATTGCTGTAAAAACACCTTTTTCTGCAAGATGACGAGAAAATTGAGAGCTTTACTAAAAGATATGTATTTAGTAATGATATTACTTTGAACAACAAAAAATATTTCTTCTATTTAGACCAGGTACTCAGCCTTATGTGACAGAAATTAAACCTCTTGACCTCTGGGTTACAAGACCAATGCTCCATCCTCCAAGTGTTATAGGCGGCATTAAATGCATGTAAATAGTTTTGACACACGCGGTAATAAATTTCTTTTAAATCCTTTTACACGTTAAATGTTTTCTAGGTATTTTAAAGGTATTTTTATGGAGTCAAAAATTTAGCCATACTAAAGAATTTAACTCTGGATTCTTGTTATTTTAAGTGTTTATGAAACGGAATTTCACCTATAGATATTTTGATATAGATATAGATTTGTACATAACTAAGAAGCCAAACGAATAAATTTACAGTTGTTGTTGCACACTGATTGTCTTTTCTAACTTGTCATGCAAATGCATTCCAAAATCATGGCAACTTAATTATATCAGCTCTAATAGTTATCATGATTTTCATAATTTTAAAGAACGAGGACTTGTAGTATTTAACTAAGTCATAAGGCAGAAAGAACTAGCTATTGTTGGCAAGTGTATAATGAGCAGAGCTGTAACAAAATACTTCTCGAACATATGAAAATGACATTTCAGTTAAATTTCCATCAAATTAGTACATAAAATTTTTCGAGATCATTAACTTGATATTGAATGATCAAATTATGACTCGATCGTTAAGTGGGGTTAGTTTAAACGATATAGTCTTATCTAGCATGTAGAAGGAAGTGGCGTCAATAACTCCATTCTCTATTCTCAATTAGCCAAATAAAGCCTTTGTAAAAAGAATTACATATATTGACGAGCTAGGATAGCAGAATGTTTAAATTTTTTTTACGAAATAATCAACTTAAACAACGAAATATCGGAAAGCAAAAGAAATAAAGCCAAAATATTATTGCTAGACTAGTAAAACCAAACATCTGACGTGAGATAATCACCCACGATCTTGAGATTAGGAGTCTCTTGCTCTACCAACTAAGCTAGCCATACTCGCAAAACGGTGCCGGAAAAGATTTGGTTAAAAATATTACAGTCTAAAGGAAACAAAAATGATTGCTAAACACATAAAAATCAACTATTTGCATTATACTTATCACGAAAACAAGGTTTTTGCTGTAAAAACAAGGTAGGTATGTGTTTTATTTTTTTTTCACCCTGTAGTTTAAGCAAATGTAAATGATTTCAAAGTAAACCTGCCATGTAAATGGCTTTTGCAATGTACAATACGTTGCATATTAATGTATATATTACATTGTCATTTGTTATTGTAAATTTTATCAACAAAGTTGTACTCTGCATATCTCATAATTACCATATCTCATACTTAAGATAGCGAATGAAAGACTTTAGATATCTATGTTAAAATAATTACGCTTTACGACTTCCGAAGTGTAAATTTTCACATCACATAAAAAGGAAACATTTTTGCAATTTGATTATTAGAAATTTGTCTAAAGCAATTAGTATATGCATCAAAAATTCTAAATTAGGTTGAAAATGTAAGGATAGAGTGAATTTGACTGAAAAGTACCTGGAGATTATCTTATTTTATAACACATGCAGAAGAGCTTATATGTTGTTTTTGTTGTTGTTGTTCGTCCAT